TAGTAAAAATCTAACTTAGAACTTTGAGTACACAGTGGAAACAATGCACTAAATAGTTTCTTGTGAGCTTTAAGTCATGTTAGCTAATCAAAAACATACCCACAGTTGTGTTTTGTTTCATTCACACATTTGAGTAATCCTGCATTATTAGTCCGTCTACATCTCCAAAGCTCAAAATGTTATATTCCACCTTGTGATGTCATGTTTGGTGTTAGTTTACTAACAGCTACCGTTTACCTTTAGTTCAGTAGAGATGGGAAATTCCAGGGCTGAAATTATTCAAATTATTCTAGTAAAGGTGTATGGAGTTTAAAAACACAATGAATCGCTTTCTTTATTACTTCATGATATCACAAGGTGGAACAGGGTAAAGGCTGTGCAATTAATCGAATTTAGATCGTGATTTCGATCTGTGTGTCAAACGATCTCCAAATTCATAAAATTGAGCTGAAATTATTTAAAGCTTAACAAAGTTTAGTTTATACTATATTTAATTTATTTCTTAAATGTAGAGATTGCAGAACAGCTGGACATATAGTTTATTTTGGATCCATTTATCTTTTTCTGTGCTTTATATCATGTTCAAAGTATATTTTATTCATTTTATGTTTTATACATCGCAAAACTGCTCTAAGGTACATATTTGTAGCCTATATTTATCTTCAATTTGAAAATTTTGTGTAAATTATCAATAACAAAGTGTTTTTTTGAGAGAGAGAATTACTAAATAAATGCATCTAAACAGCAATCGTGATTTCAATATTGACCAAAATAATCGTGATAATGATTTTTTCCATAATTGAGCAGCCCTAAACAGCATGTTTTCTGACTGAGAAGAACTCAGCCTAAACATGCAGGGTTTGTGTGTTAAACATTTTAAAGAAAACACAACTCCAAACAAATAGCATAATATGGACCCTTTAACAAGTAATCAAAAATACTTGAATTTCCTTCAGGCTGCTTGGCAAACCCATCACGCTGTAAATGGCTTCGACTGAATCCTCTGTAAAACTTGCCTCTCCAGCAAAAATAAGGAGGGCTTAACTCTGAAACCAGTATGTCTTTGTCTGTAAGACAACACATTTTTAACAATAAGAACAATGTAAAGACCGTTGTGGTTACTTAGGCGACATACATGTGCATACAGGTGTGTTTACAGTGAAAAGCTATATGACTTGTTATCTTAAACTTGAGGCTTTTAAAAAGAATTGTGCATTGTTTTTAGTAGAAAAACCTGCACATTTTGTCTGAAGGGCCTATATTACACTACTTTTTGATCTGTTATAATGTTGTATCCTCATCAAAATCATACCTGAATTTGTGTTTTGTTTTATTCACACGTTTAACACACAAATTCTGCATTTTTAGGCTGAGTTCTTCTCTCAAATGCAAAATACTCTGCTTCATTTTGTGACATCATGTGGTAATACAGGAAGTGCTCCTCTGTGTTTTGAAACTTCATACACTTTCATTAGAATTATTTGGATAATTTCAGCCCTGGAATTGCCTATCTCTGCTGAATAAAAGGTAAAAGGCAGCTGTTAACTTTAAAACCACAATTACATGACATCACAAGGTGAAATAGAGCATTTTAAGCTTTGGAGATGTTAACAGAGTAATAATTAAGGATTACTCATGTGTGAATAAACAAAACACAGCTCCAGGTAGGTTTTTGTGGAACATGGCTAAAAGCTCACAAGAGTTAATATAGAACCTTTACATTTTCTTTTGTGGATGTTCTCAAAAAGTGCAAAGCCTCTGTCTCTTTAATAAACATGCTTAAAAACTTTTTTTACTGACGGAAGATGGCTGACTCACTTTAATTACACTGTGGCCAAACCAGGGAGGAACCAAACATGCCCAGTGCCATTTCCTTTATACTCAAGCTATCATTTACTTGTAATATGCCTACATTCTTCAGGCCCTACTGTATTGTTGTAGAAGTAGTACTAGTATAGTTTTACTGGTTGATGATAAGTTATTTGCTGAAATTTAATGCTGCATTGTGTAACTTTTCTGGTGGAGGGTCCGTCACCTGCTTTTTTCAGTGAATATCATTGCTCTGTCTGGAATGTTCCACAGTATGACATTTAACAGCTCTACCTTTACATTTATTCAGTTGCAGGTGGTTTTATGGCTCCGAAATACCTAAAAACAGGCATTTTCACTGTGAGCAGGGTCGCCTCTCCACAGATCTGACCTGTCACTTGGTCTAGTTTGGTCTCCATGAAGATAGAAACGTTTAATAACATACTTTGAAACATTTCCATGAAGAAAAGCAACTGGTGGACCCTTCACCAGAAAAGTTACACAATGCACCTTTAAAACAAAGAAAGGTTTAATATAACTGTACTACATGTTCTGTTTTGGTATTAGTGGACATGTATAATATTTTTTTGCCTTTTTACTGTGGACCCCTTCTATCCTTTGCATGCAAATCTGACCATTTTGAAGTTGCATGAATAGTCACTAGGCTTTTGTTGAGATTTATTACCAAAGCAACAATAAAGCGATTCTTAACAAGTAAATGAAAAAGACATGGAAACACTAGAGACACTGAGGAACAGAGAGAGAGAGGAGGAGCGGAGGAAAGGAGGAGAGGAGGAGAGAAGGGAGGGAGCAGGGTGTGGCGAGGTATATAACATCGCCTGCATCTTCCGCTACATCACTACAGACCATCCAGAACTCCAGTCTGCACGCCCAAAACCCAACTAAGGTGAGTAGATGCAACAAGTATTGTTTTTACGATAAAAGATGTTTCTAGAGTAAAGTTTTCATGCAAAGTTATAGCCATGCAAGTGAAATCAACTAGTGATTCTCAAGATGGAAATGGAACAACTTAAATACAGAAGAAACCAAATGGAAAATGCAGAAGTTTATTTGTGCATGGCAACTGAGACTTTTGTAAGGAGAAGTAGGTGTGATATGGGCACTATTTTAACGTGCAGAATAAGAAAGATATACATTGCATTATTCTCTATCACGTTAAACAGGGTGAGTTAGCACTAAAAGTTTAAAAATGCAATAATTTTCCTAACAAACTTGTATTAATAAGACATTTGAATGCAAGTATGCAAAAGTCAAAACTAAACAGTGATGCAACACTAGTTTTAAACATATTTTCTTTTAGAGACACTGTATTTTTAAGTACTTTTCAGAATTTTGTAGACTACATTCCTGGTTAGTAACATAAAACAATTGCCTTTATGGTTCTGTTGATTACTGCTGGAGCATAAAGCACTTTATCATTTATCAAATATCCGAATAAACATGCATTATTAGTAGTTGCAATAGTACAAGTAGTAGTAGTAGAAGTAGGCCTTATTGTTGCTCTCATCCTTACTTCTTAAGCACTGACTGATACCAAGTCTAAGTCTAAAAGTTACCATGGTGATACACAGTGCATCCCTAACTATGATTTCACCTATTTGTCGGATATGTTTACTTCCATTGTTTCCGCAGAGCTACCCCCACGAGAGGTCCCCCTTCTCAACCTGAACCTGCTCCCCCGGGTCTAACAATGCGCGTGGAAAAAAAAAACATTTAAATAAATACAAGCTCTAACTGTTACTTTGGGGACAATGGTTTCATGTCACGTCCTGCGTTTTACCTGATCTCACTCAAGGCAGATGCAGATGTTGCCAAAGAGATGCATTGTGTCATGTATGTTAGAGACAGGGGGTAACAGACTGTGAGCAGGTCCTGGTGGAAATGAATCTATTTCTGTGCTGTGGAAAACTGGCAGGCCTGTTAGACATGGCTCCCTGGCTCTGCTACACAAGTGTTAAGTAATAAAGCTTTTACTATATTATGTAATAATGAGGTAAGAGGGAAAGAAAGGCTAAACTGCAAATATTATACACTTATAATTGTCCAAAATTCTGCAGTTGATCTTTGATAAAACTTAACTCAAGTTTGTGAAATTTATTACTACATGTATCTGTTAAATTATGCTTAACCATGATTAAAATGCATGATAATTAAATAAATAATTAATAAATATGAGTCAGACAAGTGAAAAAGGCCCATTGCTTTTAAGGATTTTATCCATGGGGTTCAGAGTGATGGAAATCTATAGCAATTAACAATTTACAAAACTAAATATTATGGCTTTTGAATGAGCAAAAGTACTCAAAATATCAGCTATAAACAAGAATCTGAAACAGAAACAAAATGTAGCCCACAATAAAATTCTCAAGTTAAGATTTGGGCCCAGATAAGTGTCTGAAGAAAGTGACTCATAATTTACAGCAGTGCCCACTCTTTCCTCTGAAATAACTCACATGTCTGACGGCCCTTGAACCACTCCCTGCAGTCTGGTCTAAATGTTTCCTTTGTTAACTTTATTGAATTTAACCACAACACTGCATGATCCGAATGTAGTGAAACTTACCCGTCCTCGTGCTTGCCTCTAGATGGCGCCAAAGCAGCATTTGAGAAGTCAGGTCTGAATCTTACAGAGAGAATAGAATACAAGGCAAGGCCAGTTTCAGTTACATATTTCTTGATGTTCCCCTTTGTTAGCTTTACTAAATTTAACCACATCACCACATGTTAACCCAAATGTTGTGAAACTTATCCGTCCTCGTGCCTGCCTCTAGCTGGCGCCATAGCAGCATTAAAAAATCCGGCTCCGAACCACAGACTGTAAAAGGCTAGTTTCAGATATACATTTTTTTCTTGCTTTCATGTATCTAAAAATATAAAATAACAAAGATTCACTTGAATAATTGTTTAGAATTATTTTGCATTTATTATTATTATTATTTAAATTTATATTGTTGCTCTTTGTTATTATAATAAATTGTGATGTGTGAGCTACTGTGTCCAAATAATTTCCCTTGTGGATCAGTAAAGTTTGTCTAAGTCCATAATGTTGTGTATCCTTCTCCACATACATTATGCCTTCTTTTGTAACTTTTCTTCAATAGAATGGTCATTAAGAGCTTCTCACCAATTATTTTATTTACTGTTGACTTGTTGTTTTCCAGACTCCCATCATGTCTGACGTCCAGCAGGCCATGGCTCTCCTCATCACTGCCTTCAATAAATATTCAGGCAAAGAAGGAGATAAGTACACTCTGAGCAAGGCCGAGCTCAAGGAGATGCTACAGAACGAGTTTGGAGATTCACTCGGCGTAAGTCACCCACAAACGTCTACAATACAAAACACAGTATGGAGGAATAGAAATTTGGCTTAAAGGTGCACTGTGGAACTTTTCTGGTTGGGAGTCCACCACAGACTTTTTTCCATGGAGATATTACTAATTTGCCTGAAATGTATCACAGGATGCAACTCATCTATGTTGCATTTATTCAATTACATGTGTTTTACTGCTCAAAAAATTGCCTGGAGGCATTGTAGGCTCGTCTCCATGCAAATATATAAGTTTAATGCCATACTGTGGGACATTTCCTTGAAGACAAGCAGGTGTCGGACCCTCCAGCAGAAAGTTACACATTGCATCTTTTACACATACCAAAGTGAAAATGTAAGTGGTAGTGGAGCTGAAAAAAATGTATTAAGACTCTGACTCAGCTCCACAATCACTCACATTTCCAGGTTGTTATGTGCTAAGATCAGTTTGTTCCTTCATGTCAAGTGACCTCATCCCAGAAGTTGCTCCTGTGTCTTACATCTTTCTATCTTCTAGTTGTAAAGATGAAAAAAATACTATACGTACTGGCTATTTAAAGTAATATACATACACATAACATGCATCTTTACTGGGAGTGGGCTTGCATCTCCACAAACTTGCCTCTTATTTGGCCGCCTCCTCCAAACTGTTTCCATAGAAATGTTGTTCCTTTGGTTATAATCTTCCACAGCATAAAACATATCTATCTCCATGGAGAACATTCCTAAGTATGGTTTTTATTTTCTGTTTCCATGGACTTATGCAGTTGACTTTCCACCTCTAGAAAGTTATATACTACCACTTCAAGTATTTATAAGAGTACTCTTTCTAGATTCAAATGAGCTGTAAAATTCCATTGCTTATTGTCTTGTTCATTTTTTCCCCTCGTACAGAAGGTGAGTGATAAGGCTGCTCTGGACAGCATCTTCAAAGACCTGGACGCAAACAAAGACAACAGTGTGGACTTCAGGGAGTTCTGTAATCTGGTGGTGTGTCTCACTCAAATGTGCCATGAGTACTTCATCAAGAAGAAGTGAGAGTCAGCGCCATCTACTGGCCAGTGCACATAACCCATGTAAGCAATGGTGCTTGTGAAGGAAAACATTTTATTTTAAACTTGGATACTGATTATACAAATTGTGAATAAAATTAATTTGACTGAAATACAAAGGATAATAAAATAAAATTATGTAAGTACTATTATGTGTTGTGTGCTTTATCATCATGTGAAAATCAGTGTAGGCTTAATCCAGAGAAATCGAATGAAAAAATGTTTTTTGAGAGTCATCTGGAATTGGTTTTAGAAAGACGTTTCATTCTTCTCTCAAGAGGAAAGGCACTGTCACATTGGTAAATGTTATTTGACATTTTTGAAGGATCAACCCTGGCTAATAGAAACAATATGCCAATACTAATGACCCTCTATCTGGAGATTTTACATGTATCTTCCAACCATGGAAGTATAATAGCATCTTATTATATCGGTTCTTATTACAGATCCCTTGTCCCAACCAAAAGATATACAAAATGTTTATGTCATGTTTATGTCCTATATGGTTGTTACTTTGACATAACCTATCATCATTTTACTTTCACTTTAAGTGTGAAGACTTTTACAGTCACTGTCACCACTTAGCAAGTTTATAGATTTTATCTTAAGGGTCTTCCGGTAAAATAAATAAAGGCTAAAAATAAAACTGAGTAGGCCAACTGAAGTCATAGTTACAAAAGGTTCCTCTTCAGTAATATAGGATTAAAGGTAATTATATCTTTTAAATGCAAACTGCACGTAATTTGGATACTGTGGCTATAGGCCAATACGTATTACTTATTTCATTGATGGGTACATTTAAAAGGTCCTATATTACACAACATTGACTCATGTGAGCTTTTAGCCATGTTAGAATGTTGTTACCTAATCAAAAACATACCCAGAGTTATGTTACACATACTGTATTTGAGTAATCCTGTATTATCAGTCTGTCTACATCTCCAAAGCTCAAGATGCCTAAAATTCCACCTTGTGATGTCATGTAGTGGTAGTTTTCAAGTTTACAGCATCCTTTTATCTTTACTTCGGTAGAGAATGGCAAATCAGGGCTAACTGAGTGTTTTCTGTTTGAGGGAAGAGCTCAGCCTAAATTTGAAGGGTTTGTGTGGTAAACATGTGTGAATGAAACAAAACTCAAGTCTGGGTATCTTTTTGATGAGAAAACAACATTATAACATAGATCAGTAGCCTAATATGGGCCCTTTAAATAACACTGTTTGATTGTTTACTTGTGCAAATAGCTTCTCTACATCCCAACTGACAAGCTAATTATCTAAAATGTTATGATTTCAAACAGTAAGTGCATGTGTCTGTCACTGGGTCATTATGTAACGAGAGGTGCTCACTTACCTGCTGGTGTGTTGACAACTTGAAGGCTTTCATTCCACCGAGTGCTGATTTTAGAGATTTCTGGAGCATTGTGTCTTTATGTTAAAAGACAAATAGTGTCTCTAATGCACCGTACATTTTCTATCTGTAAGAAACACAAAAGATAATGTCAATCAGATCACAATCATATCAGTTGTTGGTATGTGCAGTCACAAGGCAGTAGTTACAAAAATGGGAGGAAATAGGGGTGTGGGCTTGAGTAAAAACATGTGAGGCTCACAGTGACAGAAATTAAAACAATTACAATCATTGAAATTAATGTGTCCCCAGGGAACAGTGGTGTGTTAGGTCTGAGGTAGTGGCTCAGAGGGTTATAAATAGAACACAGCCAAAACAGGAGCAGAAATTCATTTACCTCAATTAATATAAATGACACTTTAGAGATGCAGGTAGGGCCCATCTAGTAATTGTAATTAGAAAATGTAACTTGTCTCAACTTGGGCGAGTTTTTGGGGTAATCATTATGCTTTAGAACAAAGAAATAATACTAAGCAGCGTCTTTTTATTATTTTTTTTTCTTAACACAAATTGCACAATCTATACTTTATAAACACGCTCAGTGCAGAATCACTTCCTGTATTAGGTAACAATGGACTAGACCGATAACAGAATCTTTTACACGTTTTCCTTCTCACGTCAGACCAGGTTCATCCTAACGCACCAGGATCCTGCTGAGACCAGGGGCTGAGACCAGGGGCTGGGACCATGGGCTGGGACCCGGGGCCAGGCTGCGTCCTGCGGGACCGCCCCGGAGCTCACGTGACCGGGCCGTGTCCCGTGACGCACGGAGGGGCGGACCGTCAACAACAGCGGTCTGTGCGTGAGTGCGTGCGGCGGAGACACAGCGAGTGTTGTTTTGAATTTACTAGAAGACACCGACCGACCGACCGACCGGAGGGGGGTAGGGCTCGTGGATAAGATGGCGGATGAAGGCGATGAAACTCGGCCAGCTTTTCCCTCAGCGCCCCGGAACGGCCCGGTGGTAGGCTCCGCTACGACTACGGTAACCTCTGGTCCTCGGGTGGTGAGGATCGTCAAGTCCGAGTCCGGTTATGGGTTCAATGTGCGCGGCCAGGTCAGCGAAGGCGGCCAGCTCCGGAGCATTAACGGGGAGTTGTATGCACCTCTGCAGCATGTGAGCGCAGTGCTGCCCGGAGGAGCGGCGGACCGAGCCGGGATAGCGAAAGGAGACCGGATCTTGGAGGTGTAAGTAGGCTTCTCCACACACATTAGCCTGGACATTAGCAAGGGATGCTAGCTTCTCTTCAGCGCTACACTTGGTGCATTTCAAGCGTGTACTGTCCTGCTCAGTGAATGCAGTATTAAAGGCACACGGGGTCATGGCACTTGAGTAACAGCGTGGTTTTGGACGCTTTATGTGCTGTAAAAGATGATCGAAGCCAAAGTAAAGGCTACACCAGGCTAATGCTAATTAGGGAAAGGGAAAGCTATCCGCCTTACATAAGTTGGATAACAGGCTGTGCATGTTGATTAGCTCTGCTGTTAGCCTTTAGCTGCTCAGGTAAAACACATCTCCTGAGCCCAGTTTGCGCAGTGACTGCCTCGGGATGGATAAAACATGAATTCATCCGTGTTTACATCTACTATCTGTTCAGGTCCTATGGCTGCTGTGTTAGCTGCAGTCAGAGCTGTCATCTTCAGCATCTTCATCATGTGTCCCACTTTATTCAGACTGCCCCGTGTGTGTTTGCATGAGGTTTGCATGAGGGCTGTAGAAGTTGGCTTTAGTCCTTTTTATACGGTACACCATGCACCTGTGCTTTTGTTCAGTCATCACCATAAAGCAGTGAGGAGCAAAGGAGCCATTTGTACACGGATTGTATAAATATATCATCACCATTTAAGCAGGCAGGTGCTGAATTGACACAAAAATAGGGCTGTGTTTTTGCTGTGGTCATGCAGGTGGCTCTAAAACCACTGTATGCATAATTTTTGTACATGACCCAGTACTATCAAATCATGTTTTAGTTCATCCAGATCAGATGATATGATCCAATGGAGAAGAGAAACCTAGAAGAGGGAACAGTCTTATTGGCACTTGCTGAAGCATCAAAAAGTTTCACTCAACCTGCATTTTCAGCTTCACTGCTAATCTTGTACTTTGGTCATATGACAGAAAAGGTTGTAATCATGTGACATGTCAACCCGCTCTGCTATTTAAGAAAAGATCATTTACTAAGGATAAGAATATGAAGGGTTTGGTAGTGGTAGTTCAAAGCTTTGTATATTTGAAAAAGACAAATAATGACATCTTAAGTGTTCAAGTTAAGTGAGGCCCATTTGTCTAAAGCCTGTGTTTGCAATATTATAAACATTGGTTGTGAATTCCCTATTTTTCAAAGTGCAAAATAGGTTACAGTTCTTTATGAATTATAGGCTCAGAAGGAAGAAGGTTTAGAGAGATTGTGAGTGGTAGGCACCAACACAGGATATCTAGAAGAGATGAGAGCTTTTCGTTTCAGATTTAGTTTGATGGTCCATTAACTGCCTGTTGTGCTGACTAGTATCCAGAACATTTGTGCGTCACTGGTTTGTATTTGTAGTTGACACATAATAGTTGAGGACAAGGGCTTGTTCAGTCATCAGGATTCAATAAGACAGGCTAGGCAATATGACAAAATTTTAACTGTATTTAATGTAGATTTTTGATTCTGTGTTGACAGACTTTGAATCACTGCCATTCAACACAACAAATGAAATGGTCTCTGCCTTTAAACCACATTTTATTTTAACGCAGGAGAAGAAGAATCCTGTATATTACAAGTGGTCTTGAAAAGGTGTGAGCTTTCAGTGTTCATATTACACAAATCTGACTCTTGTGAGATTTAAGCCATGATAGAATCTAGTTACCTCCTCAAAAACATACCTGGAGTTGTGTTTTGTTTCATTTACACATATTTGAGTAATAATTTTTTATTAGCCCAAAGCTGAAAATGCTCGGTTCCATCTTGAGATGTCATGAAGCTGTAGTTTTCATGTTGACAGCTTTATCCCTTTATCTTTCAGTAGAGATTGTTAGTTCCAGGTCTGAAAGGAGTTTTTGTAGTTTCAAAACATAGTGGAGCACTTCCTGTATTATCACATGACATCACAAGGTGGAACAGAGTGTTTTCTGTTTGAGAGAAGAACTCAGCCTAAATATGCAGTGTTTATGAATGAAACAGAACACAACTCCAGGTATTTTTTGTGATGAGGAAACAACATTGTCCCACAGATCAGAAAATAGCATAATATGGGCCCTTTAATAGAACACAAAGTGAGCGGTGCTGCTCCCCCACTGTCTCTCACAGGAGATTAGCTGTGACACCTGATGCTGGAGCCATCTGTGGAGAACTCTGCATCAAAGCCCTGGACACATTAAAGGAGCTGCTCTGGCTTAGCTCTCCTTTAATTCTCATCATCAATAAATAAAGTGTGAAGAAATACAAGTTTACTTTTCTTTGAGGGGTGGGGGGGTGGGGGTCCTGTTCAAATCTGTCCTTATCCTCTGCGAAGTCCTTTTTTAATCTGTTTAGGATGTGTTCCCTTGTCCTGGTTTGCTCCTGGTTTGAATCCAGTTTTAGTCCTTATTTAGACTGTAGTGGAGTTTTTGAGATTCCATTTAGTAAATTATTTGTTTGGCTGTGGCCCCCTCTATTTAATATATCCAATCAGTAAAAGCATGATCATACTTGATGTAGAAATTAGGGCTTTTCTTGTATTATGATTGTGTTAAAATATTGGTATTGTTTATAGGTAATTCAAATTGCAATTTTTTTTACCAGATAAAATGAAATCTAATTGAACATAATGACTGATCATAATGTTCAAGTATGAATTATGAATTTCATATTTGATCATGTTGCACAATCCTACTTTGTTTGCCCCGAGTGTTGTTCTGAGCTTCTCTTATTTCGTCATGTGTTGTGGTAGCAAGTCTCCAGCCGGGCCGGTTGTCTTGCAAGGTTATTTCCTGTTCAGGAGTTTTGATATATGCTATACTTTTGATTACCCCACTTTCATGTCTTGTTTGTCACATCCTTTTCTCTTATTGCATCTGCTCCTTTCAAGTCTTATGTATTCTCATCACTCCCATAAAGCCTTATCTCTGCTTTGCCTCGTGCCATAGACTCTCTTAAATTATGCAAACTAATTGACCTCATTACCTTACCTACGTTGGACATAATGTTATTTCTATATCAGTGAGAAGGAACATTGACCATTGATGCACAAAGCAAGTAAATGGTGGAGTGTAATGTACAGTGAAGTGAAACAGGTTCATTGTGAAGGTGATTTTGACAGTGTTTTGTTTAGCTGTTCATTCTAGTGTGTAAACCTAAGTCTTTTTTTTTTTTTTTACCAGTTTCAGTATAGTCTCGGTTTAGCACATTTTTTTCCTCAAAGTGTCAATTGTTTTTGCTTGTATTTTTTTAGTTTCAAATACTTCATTCAGACCTAAGTTATCATCGAGAAAGCCAAATGTTTTACAAGACACTCCTGATCTGTCTATAGTGGACTTTTATGTGATTTGTAAAGGATTTCGATTCTTTTATTTTAAATGTGCTATATAAAAACCTTGGCTTGATCTCATGAGTCATGCCCACCAGTCATCTTCAGTCACCTAATCTTGTTTCATTTCCTCTGGTCCCACAGAAACGGTGTGAGTGTGGAGGGGGCCACACATAAGCAGGTGGTGGACCTGATCCGGGCGGGGGAGAAGGAGCTGGTTCTGGTGGTGCTGTCCGTGCCCCCACAAGAGGCCGAGGGGCTGGAGGGGGGCGAGGAAATTCAGCCCAACTACGACTACAGCGACAAGCAGGCTGTGCCCATCTCTATCCCCACATACAAACATGTGGAACAGCACGCCGAGCGGTTTGTGGTGAGTGCATTTCACTTAAACGTTTTTCTTATTATGGGTTTATGTTTTCCTTAATAGGTGCAATTTTGGGGTCTTTTTATGGTTTGTTTTGTTTGAATTGTTGATTGCTATGGCAACATTCCCATTTTTCATCACTCTGAAGCCCACTGATTTTGTATGATGGATTAGAGTTAAAATTCTCGCTGAATATAACTGTTAAAAACAAATCCCACAGAATTCAAAACAATTGTTTCATCAGTGTTGACGCTAACATGACCTATTATAAAGAAAAATGTTTCTAAGTCCTTTTTATGATTCTCAACACAGTTCAACTTCAAATGAAAAAAGTCATTAAAACAAAGCCGTGGCATAATATTCTAATCAGAATATCTAAAATTACAAAGTTACACCCATTGACTCAATAGCACAAGGCGGGGACCCAGACATTACTATTTATCTTGGACTGCAAAAATAATTGAAATGATTTTGAAATGGCTTTTCTGCACCCACTGATGTGACTGTAGCGACAGTGTTGAAGATATTTGATCTGATAGTTTGTCTTTCACAGCGTCAATTTCATTTCCTGTGATTTTCTTGTCTCCAGGTCTACAACGTCTATATGTCCGGCAGACAGCTGTGCTCGAAGCGTTACAGAGAGTTTGCCATTCTACACCAAAACCTCAAGAGGGAATTCTCCAACTTCAACTTCCCCAAGCTCCCTGGAAAATGGCCCTTCTCCCTCTCCGAACAACAGCTGGACGCACGACGCAGAGGCCTGGAAGAGTACCTGGAGAGAGGTGGGACCAGATCTAAGGATTTGGTTGGAATTAGGACAGGGCAATATTGACAAACATTAAAGGGCCCATGTCTGGTTTTTTGATGTTATCATGTTGTATCTTCATCAAAAACATACCAGGAGTTGTTTTTTATTTCATTCACACATTTAACACACAAACCCTGCATATTTTGGCTGAGTTATTGCACTGCTGTGGATAGGACCTTTCTTCTCTCTTATGTCGGCAGAATTTCGTTAATATGTGGCATTTGTGTCCTTTTCTAATATGGTTTATTCTGATCTTCATTTCTCTGTTTCCAGTTTGCTCCGTGCGTGTAATTGGGGAGAGTGACATCATGCAAGAGTTCCTGTCTGAATCCGACGAGGTTTGTCATCCTTAGAACACAGAAATGTCAATAAGTGAATCCAGTGCAGTTGTCTGGAAACTGTATATTTTAAACCAGATATATTTTTGTTTTGTACATGTGGATATAATAACTTGAACAAATAAGAATTTTGATAACATAATTAGCCATAATTCCCATTTATGGTGATTATTTTAATTCAGACATTTAATTAATAATATCCAATAAAGATTTGCAGATCTTTTTTCTTAAAAGGCCCATATTAAGCTATTTTCTCATCTATGTTATAATGTTGTTTCCTCATCAGAGACATACATGGAGTTGTGTTTTGTTTTTTTCACATGTTTAACACACAAATCCTGCATAATTAGAATATAGAATATAGAGTTCTCCACTGTGTTTTTAAACTCTCATACACCATCGCTAATTGCCAATCTCTACTGAATTGAAGGTAAAAAGAGCTGTTAACTTAAACACCGCCACTTCCAGCATTTTGAGCTTTAGAGATGTAGACAGACTAATAATAAGGGGTTACTCAAAAATGTGTGAATGAAACAAAACACAATGAGGTAACAGTATTGTAACATGGCTAAAAAATCTCAAGAGTCGATTTTGTGTAATATGGGACTTTTAAACATAAGTAACTTTTCGCTGAACATTCTGGTGTAACAATGGCCATTAACCTTGTTGGCAATTATCACAATTATACAAAATGTTCCACAAACAATAATTGTCAACCCTTTTCATCACAATAAATTATATCGTTTATTGTCCCATCCCAATTGGAGAGAGATACTAATGTTAGAATATAAATTTTGAATCAGCATGTTTTTAAAGTGATGTAAAATACTTCTTGTTTTCTGTTATTTTTGTAGAATTATAACGGTGTGACAGATGTAGAGCTGCGAATAGCACTTCCAGATAAGACCACCATTTCAGTGCGAGTCCGGAAGAACAGCACAACAGACCAGGTGTACCAGGTGAGCTCACATGACCAAACTTCACAAGCTTTTTTTTTCCGTTACTGTTTAGATAGTACTTTATGTTTTTACAACCTCATAATAGCTCTATAATAAAACTATAATGTCTAACTCTCAGTTTTGTATTTGCTTTAGGCATTAGTGTTGAAGGTTGGCATGGACAGTATTATGGCGAGCTACTTTGCCCTTTTCGAAGTCATCAACCACTCGTTTGGTAAGAACTGCTTGGGATATTTGAGTTTCAGTGTCAGTTGCCCCAGGATAGTGACTATTACTACTGTCTAGTTAAATCTAATAAGATGTTTCCTACTTGGAACTTTGTGTAAATAGCCAATGGGTATGCTAAAAGAAACAGTCATGGATAATTAAGTGTTAAGTTAAGCCTTTGCTCAGACCTAGCGTTCAGTTGCAACCAAATGAAGCTCATCGAGGCTGGCAGTAACCAGGGACCATATTTGGAAATCCGAGCGCGAAACCAAAAATTCAATCAGGAGCGAGGCCGTCGAAGGTAACACCCTTTCCCAGGTTGATTGACACTGTAACTGTAACGAAGTGTCAATCAAACTGTTGCTTGTGCTAGCGAGAGCAACCTCGGGGAAAGAAGGGATCTGATTGGTCTGTTATTACTGTTCATATCTTAATTTAGGGACAAAATGGTTAAATAGAGGATCATGTAGAGTGGGCAAATGCAATTTAAGACCAAAATGACTAAGCTCACAGCAACAGTTGCAAAGAGAGGGGTGAGGATTTTTCAATACAAGTCAATTGCAACCAGAGCTCAAAGGAACCATTTCCCACGCTCACTTCCTATTTGGAAGGCGGCGGATAGTGGGCCAGCTATTTCCATTCATACATACAGTCTATGACAAAAACAAAAAGTCACACAGAAATGGTTCTAACTAATATAACTCCTAACTATATTTAGCTTTTATGAGGAGGTTCATTTAAGGAATACTTATATCATCAATAAGTAAGATCCTTCCATAATACTGTTCAAATAGAAATAATCAATTATATATAAAACAATACAGTCTTCCACGTTAATCCTGAAAAGTCAGAAAAATTGCCATCTTTGAAACATTTTTCATAATAACTGATGGGAAATACTAGTTTTACTTCTCATTTTCAAGGTGCAAAGCACTAACTAGAAATCAAATCATTTCTAAGTAAAACTGGCACATATTTATTCCAAGTGCATTTACCAGAAACAGTCCCCAGCATTCATTTGTGTCTTTGTTTCATTCTTTTGTTCTTCTTTTGTTCCAGTTCGTAAGTTGGCCCCTAACGAGTTCCCTCACAAGCTGTATGTGCAGAACTACACATCGGCGGTGCCGGGGACCTGCCTGGCGCTGCGCAAATGGTTGTTTAGTTTCCAGGAGGAGGAGCTTCTGCGGGACAATCCTCTCGCTCTGCACTACTGCTTCCACCAGGTAATCACTGCCCCCACTCTGTGTACAGGCCTGTTTGGGGTTTAAAGATGCACTGTGTAACTTTTCTCATAGAGGGGTCCACATTTGTCTCTACAGAGATGTTATTGTTGGTCTGAAATGTTTAACAGTATGGCATTAAACTTATCTATATCCATGGTGCTCAAGACAACCAGGCCAAGTTACAGGTCAGATATGTGGAGAAGCGTCCCCATTCACAGTAAAACAAAAACAAACAAAAAACATGCTTTTCAATGTAAAACAATAAAAACACATAAGTGAATAAATGGAAGGTAAATAAGCTTATAATGCCAGCCTGTGGAACATTTCAGGGAACACAATATCATCTTTCTGAAGAAGCTGAGAAGTTGCATAGTTCACCTTTAAATTTTGCATATTTCTTATTATTATTTACGTGCTTTAACCAAACTGCACTTCTCAAAAAGCTATATGGTTTGTGAATGTTTTTCCTCCCATTATTTTGTATGCAATTTTTGTTTTGTCTATTGTTTGTTTACCCTTACTCTTTGCTAACACTTAAGAGAAATTTTAACAAAGCCGTCACCTTGTTTCTATGGATATGTCATTGCTTTGCTTTTTCTACAATATCCAATGGCTCTACATTATACAATGCAAATTTTTCTGATCTGGCGAAGATTTTAAAACTTATATCAGGTTATTCATCTTGTTTTCAGGTTTATTATCTACTTACTAGTTCTGAGATTGCTTAATTCTTGTCTAGAGGGAGCTTATTTTAAGATAACTTGTCAAGTAAAATTATCTTGCTGCATGGACAGATCATTTCACTACTTTTAAGTCATTTTATGATCGATTTAAGTGTTTATATCTTAAATTTTGGCCGAGCTTTTTTGCAGTGTATTTATTAAATGATAGTTGGATTTATAGCTCAAAAACACCTTGAAAAACAGGCTCTGACTGTGAGCGGGGTTGTCTCTCCATAGATCTGATCTGTAACTTGGTGTGGTTTGGTCTCCATGAAGATTGAAAGGTTAATACCATACTGTGAAACATTCCAGACAAAGCAATAATGAAGAAAAGCATTTGACAGACCCAACACCAGAAAAGTTACACAATGCACCTTTAAGTATCTTATAGCCACATGTGATTTAACAAGATAAGTAATTAAATGTTTTTCTAGCTTGATATTACCACAGTATTTCTTGCTGTCTGACATGTTTACACAACTCTACTCAAGTGTTTTTACCCCCGCCCCCATGCCCCCCTCTCATGGCTATCCAGCATTTACTCTCCTAAACTATCCATCCTTGAGAAATTGTAAACCACATTTATTTAATTAACATTCTTTAGCAACAATAGCCATTGCCTTAAGCCATAGTCTTGACAAATGAACTGTAGTTACCTGAAGCATTCGAGGAATTTAAACTTGCATAGTCTTCATTTAAGCAACAGCACGCCATATATCACTGTGTACTATCAGCCTCCTGACTCAACACAACTATTCAAAAAACACTTGAATGTGCCCACTGTAAGAAACTGCAAGAAGAAAAAGATAAATATGTTACATTATTTACAATATTGCTCTTACATTTTTAATTGCTTCTTGTTTTAAGCTTAGTTATTTGTCAACAGTGTAAGAAACCTAAAGGTGCGCTATGTACCTTTTTGACCTGTCACATGCTTGTGTCTATGTCATGCTTGTCATATGTCATTGCTCTGCCTGGAATGTTCCATAGTATGACATTTAATAGCTCTACTTTACATTTATTCAATTACAGGTGGATTTATAGGTCAAAAATACCTAGAAAAACAGGAATTCTTATTGTGAGCGGGCTTGCACCTTCATAGATCTGACCTGTAACTTTGTCTGTTTTGGTCTCGATGAAGATAGAAAGCTTAATACCATACTGTGAAACATTAATTTGCCAATGGGGTAAGCAGCATTTCCCACAGATTTATACTAAGACTGTGGTGGCACAAGCAATCCATATTTTAGTCATTTTATTGAATATAATATTTTGATGTATAAATGTGACTTATTGCCTTATTGTTTACAGATAAAAATGATTGCCTCTATATTTTTATCATAAAACTACAAGCATAAAGTATAATCTGTTTTACCAATTTTTTGCTCAGCTAGACTTTAGATTATGGGGGTGAAAATTAGACTATGGGTAGACCATAGATCATAGTCTCATCTTAATGGAAAACAGTGGGTAAGAAACTTGTCCTGACCAGATCTTATTTCTTATACAAGGTACATTATGTCATTTTTCTGGTGGGGGTGTGCGCCACCTGCTTGACTCCACAGAGATGTTATTTCTTTACCTAATGTCCCATAGCATTTATTTCATTGTGGGTGTTTAAATTGCTGAAAAATACATAAAACACATACTGTCTGTGTGTGTGGATCTGACTGTAACTTTGCCTGGTGGTGCCACTCACTTGTTTAATGCCATACTGTGTAACATTCAAGGCAAAGAAATAAGATCTTGATGGAGACAAGCAGACGTCTTTCCCAAAAAAAAGTTACATGATGGTATATTTAGTACCTTTACCGTTAAAATATCTTAGTACTAGGAATGTAACGATATCCAAATCTCATGGTACGATATTTATTGAGATATTTTGGAGAGGCTAATATAATTGTAGATGGGACACTTTTTTTGCTTTTAAAATACTTTGACAAAATTTTGGTGTGAATTATTTCCATCATAATCCCAAGAATTGAAGTAAAAAACATTTTTCTTCATGTTGTCTGCACTGAAATTAATCATGGGATTTGTAGTTCCCTATGTTTATAAGCTGTTGCTACAATAAAACCATGCATTTATGCAGAGGAACTTGTGATTTGATATATATTGAGAGCAGTGTGAGACTTTTGATGATACAATATGATATTTTGGTTATTGTTACATCCCTACTTAGTACCTTTAAGGGATGTCATGAAATACAGTAAGTCAATTTTTCTAGGTTTTATATGGTCCAATATTATGCAAAATTGAGTTTAAGACATACTGTAATGTTGTTGCGTCTGGTCTACTGTATGTTACAATGTTGTTTCCTTATCAACAACATACTTGGAGTTTTCTTTCATTCACACATGTTTCAGTAGCCCTTTATTATTATTCTGTCTACATTTCCAAAGCTCAAAATGCTCTTGTGTTCAGTTTTCAAGTTAAGACCTCCTTTTACCTGTAGTTGAGTCGAGATTGGCAATTCCAGAGCTGAAATCGTCCAAATGATTCTAGTGAAGGTGTATGGAGTCTAAAAACACATGAAGGGTTTACATGTTAAATGTGAGTGAATGAAACACAACACAACTCCAGGTATGTTTTTAATGAGGAAAAAACATTGCAACATAAACAAGAAAACTGTAAACCCAGATTAATATCCTGAGTTAAAGTCATATATTGCGTTGTTGCAGTTTGTTGTTGTTTTTTTCTCTCTCTTTTGTTTATATTTGGGGACTTGATAAATGGTGTTTATCTCTCTCTCTTCCTGTGCGCGTCTGCAGGCACTGGACGATGTGAAGAAGGGATTCATAAAAACAGAGGACAAATCCTACCAGCTGCAGAAACTGGCAGAGCAGCGCAAGATGGCCACGGTCAGTCCCACAAACTCCTCTTTGTCTGGACCGGGAGCCTGGTTCTGAATATATTTTATGCTAATGCTAAGGCTAGCTCGAGCCATCTCCTGAAATCTACAGGAGGATCAGCCTTTTTCTATTAATGCCTTTTGTTTTAAGAAGTGAGAAACGCTTCCACATATCAGTAGGAGTTGATAAAAGAACAAGTTATTTAGAGTGATTATGGTTTATTGCTTTGTAAACACTACTTAGGAATGACTACACCAGTGCACCCCGCCCTAACTGACTAGAAGAAATCCGTCTATAAATGTTTAGCTCTACAGTCAATAGCAGTTGCAGTGTCAGCATATTTACTATTATTAATTACTGTCTAAATCTGATTGTTCTTAAGATAAGTATTATTTATATCATATTAAACACATGTTCCTACTGGATATTTATGGTTTATGGCTAGTCCCTTTGTTTTTGGTAAGAGAAAGTGACATTTCCCAGCCCTGATAAGTCAAATGGATGTGCACAAGGGAGGTTGTCTGAGATAAAACCTCTGCATACAATTAACAAAGGAAACCATTGAAAACTATCAGCAGATCATGTTTGTAATGCAATACTTCTGTTCATTGTATATCTCAAGTTCCTCTTCACCTTTTTAACAAACATAATCTGACTTGTGTATCACTTTATAAATACCCATACTTTAGCTCCGTTCTTAATAATAATGCATTTTATTTACATTTCACTTTGAGTTTCAAATACGGTTAGTTAAAACCATTTATCAAAGTACAGAATAATAATAAGAAACATTAAAATAGTATTTAAAAGTCCTAATAGTTATTTATTTACTTGTTTGTTTATTATTACTTTGCTTTGCTTAGAATTTTCTACAATATCTTATACACTGCAAATTTCTCTGATCTGGCCAAGATTTTAAAACTTATATCAGGTTATTCATCTTGTTTTCAGATTTATTATCTACTTACTAGTTTTGAGACTGCTTAATTCTAGTCTAGAGGTATTTTAGGATAACTTGTCAAGTAAAATTATCTTGCTGCATGGACAGATCATTTCACTACTTTTAAGTAATTTTCTGATAGATTTAAGTGCTTATATCTTAAATTTTGGCCGAGCTTTTTTGAAGTGTATTTATTAAATGACGGTTGGTTTTATAGCTCAAAAATACCTTGAAAAACAGGCTCTGATTGTGAGCGAAGTTGTCTCTCCATAGATCTGATCTGTAACTTGGTCTGGTTTGGTCTCCATGAAGATAGAAAAGGTTAATATCATATTGTGAAACATTCCAGACAAAGCAATAATGAAGAAAAGCATTTGATGGACCCTCCACTAGGAAGGTTACACAATGTACCTTTAAGTATCCTATGGCCACATGTAATTTACCAAGATAAGTAACTAAATGCTTTTCTAACTTGATAATACCACAGTATTTCTTGCTGGTTGCATAACTGTCTGCCATGTTTTGACAACTCTACTCAAATATTTTTACTCAGAATTATGCCCTCCTCTCATGGCTTTCCAGCATTTACTCTCCTAAACATTAACACAATATCCTGCTATCTATTTAGCAGAAAAATTCTCCCTCCCTTGTTGTGCAGCCCTTGTCAGGTCAAATATTTGTCAGAACTGGGTTAAACTCTATGATTTAAAGATCCAGATACAGCTGCACACATGCAAATACACCCTAAATATATTCAGTACGTCTTCTTTTCATATAAAGCATCTTTGACTTTCTTGAAAAGCATGAAAAGTGTTATGTATTAATAAAAGTAAATATACAAATGAATAAAATAATAATTCTCTTTCTCTCTCCCTCTCAGTACTTGAGCCTTTTGCGGTCATGTGAGGGCTACAATGAGGTGGTGTTCCCTCACTGCTCCTGCGACTCTCGGAGAAAAGGTCACGTGATCACAGCCATCAGCATCAACCACTTCAAACTGCACGCATGCACCGAGGATGGCACGCTCGAGGTCAGACTTTCAACTCTGTTTTGTCCAAGGGTTATAGAATGAAAATAGAGTGAAAAATCAGACTGTTGCCGTAGTGATTAACAATAGCAATATTATTATACCTACTAAATGAGGAAAAAGTGCTCACAATGTTGCATGTAACAGGAGGTTGAAACCATGTATATCTTTTAAATTACTTAATGTCAGAAATAAAGAAATGAAGCCTTTTTTTCTTATTAAAAACAAACAACATAAAAACATAATGCTGTTAAAATGAACAACATATCTTTTAATTTATGGCATGAAATGTCCTATGTTACGCAAAATTGACTCTTGTGAGCTTTAAGCCATGTTAGAATGTTGTGAATGAAACAAAACACAACTCCAGGTATGTTTTTGAGGTCACAAGGTCTACTGTAATGTCAACCAAGAATCATTTTTTGTGAAATTTTGACACAATAAACTATGAAAAAGAAAATACAACTACGTATGATAAAATCTGAGCCACAGGCCAAGATTTTCATTTATCGTTTAATGAATTATTATGACTTTGTGAACACTGTGTCTGTTGTGTTCAGAATCAGGTGATTGCTTTTGAGTGGAGCGAGATGCAGCGCTGGGACACAGATGAGGAGGGCATGGCGTTTTGTTTTGAGTACGCACGAGGAGAGAAGAAGCCAAGATGGGTCAAAATATTCACTCCATATGTGAGTATTCAAACTTGACTGTCATGTCTTCCAAGCAGGTTTAATTCATAATGACTATGAATGCAAAGTAAGTCCAAATATAACTGCCTTATTGTTGTAAAAATGACTCAAAATTGTAGTATGTATTTATTTGTGTTGATTTATTTAAAGGTGCATTGTATAATTGTTTTGGTGGAGGGTCCATCTTTGCTTTTCTCTATGGAGATGTTAAAACTTTGTATGGAATGTCTCACAGTATGGCTTTAAACCTTTCTATCATCATGGAAACCAAACCAGACCAAATTAGAGGTCAGATCTGTGGAGAGACAGATCTAATCCAGAAAAACTGTCAGAATGCCACTTTTTTCTATGTATTTTTGAGCAATAAAAGAACCTGCAATTTAATAAAGGTATAGCTGTTTAATGCCATATTGTGGAACATTCCAGGTAGAGCAATGATCTCCATAGGAACAAGAAAGTGACAGACCAAAAGGTTACATAGTGCACCTTTTAATATTGACATAGCAATTATATTGGTTGAGACTGGATGTGTTGTTTTAAGTGCAAATAGCACCTGTCCATAGTGGCTTTTAAAGGGGATTTAGAGTTCATAAAGGAATGTTCAAATTTGTACACAAATGTAAACGGTTAAATAAGACATAGAGTAGACTCAAGGCACATTTCAAACATGTGAGAGCCTTTTTGGACATGTTTAGGTCAGTCTGAGGGTTTACATCAGAGGAAGATGCATATTTTGTATAGGCCTTTTCCAAGTGTTTTGCGAGTAAAAGATCAATTATAGTGAGTTTGTTATTACAGTCACTTCTAGTTAATCTGAATTAATCGACTACTAAAATTGACTAACACATGCCATTTAAAAACATGTCTTGTCTGTAACTAGAGAAAAACAAGAATATATACTTCATGATTTTGCAAATATTTGACCAATTGTAAAAAAAAATAATAAAATAAATTTAAATCTTAGAAAAATAATGGTTGCCCTAATAGTCACCGCTGAACAACAGAAAAACTGCATATATTCATTATGAGATGGGAACAGGCCTGTCATGATTTCAACTTTGAAGCATGATATATTATTGCAACAGAGAAAAACGTTTATTAAATATACAATGTAATTAAAAAATATTCTGAGCTGGAAAAAACATAAAACAGAATTAACCTACACTCATAGAGGTTACTTTATCAACCCTGTACAGCTCAAATCTTGGCTTGTTGAATAAAAAATAGCAAAAACCTCCCCACTATAGCAAAGAAAATGTGCACAAGATGTATAGTGAGCTCCAAAATATATTGTTCCAGCTGTAATTTGTTGAACCCAAAGTCGATAGAGTAATTATCGTGACTAGATGGGACTGTGACCTTTAGAAGTCTTCAGTAATTGTTTTTTTTTTTTTTGTTGTTTTTTTTGTAAATAGGCAAAATTCTTGTGAAAAGAGTTTTATCTATCTGTAGCATCTTGTTCCAGCAGCAGTGATAGTGTTGTATTGCTAAAATATGTTGAAAATGAAAGAAGCAGAGAATTCTATTTTCACATTAGGGAGCATTCTGTCCAAAAAATAGACTTAGACAAACTTAATTGACCCATAAGGGAAATTATTTGAACACAGTAGCTCACACATCACATATATTTTAACAAAGAGAAAAAATATAAATGGTAATTCTAAATAAGTAGCTAAAAATATCAAGTGACTGGTGTCCAATAAGGCATAATTATGTGTATGTGTATGTGTACAGTCCCTGACAAAAGTCTTGTCGCTTATCCATTTTGTAGAAACAAAAGCTGATAACTTGACTTCAAATTAATCGATAGGTTTTAGAAATGTCTCATATGAAAGCTAAAACATTCCCAAATTATGCTTAATAAACTAAAATAAATTTGCTTCACTGAAAAAAGATTGATCATTTAATGAACACAGAAAGGTCAGATTTTGGCAAGACAAAAGTTTTGTCGCCTACAGAAAATTGAACAAATAATTTACATCAAATACAAAAATATGTTGCATAACGTCAGTGAATTAAGTAGTAGTGCTGTGAGATCCATATTTAATATATTGTATGACTTCCATGAGCTTGAAGGACATATCCATGCGGTTCCACAATGATTCATACAATTTGTTGATGAAGTCATCAGGAATAGCAAAGAAAACAGTCTTACATGCCTCCCAGAGTTCATCAAGATTCTTTGGTTTTACCTTCAATGCTTCCTCTTTCATTCTACCCCAGACATGCTCAATGATGTTCATGTCTGGTGACTGGGCTGGCCAGTCCTGGAGCACCTTGATCTTCTTCGCCTTGAGTAACTTTGATGCAGAGATAGAAGTATGCGATGGAGCACCATCCTGCTGCAAAATTTGACCCCTTTTATGGTTGGGAATGTAAGCGGTAGCTAATACTTCTTGATATTTTAGGCTATTGATATTGCCTTCCACCCTGCAAATGTCTCACACACCCCCATACTGGATGTAACCCCAGGCCATTATTTTTCTGCCACCAAACTTAACTGTTTTCTTGGTGAATCTTGGATCCATGAGGGCTCCAGTAGGTCTCCGGCAATATTTGCGGCGGCTGTGATGTAATTCAACTGAGGATTCATCTGAGAAATCCACCTTCTGCCACTTTTCCAGTGTCCATCCTTTTAGCAGGCTGTGGGCCTTGGCAAATGCCACACGGTTTTTTAATTGCCTTTTGTTTAGTGCTGGTTTCTGTGCACTGATTCGACCATGGAGGCCATTTCGAGACAGAATTCTACAAACTGTTGTGGTTGACACAGGGACTTGAGGTGACCAGGCCTGGTGGAGTCTGCTGCAGTGGAAAAGGGGCTGGCCTTGGATTTTTGAATCAACAAACGGTCCTCCCGAGCAGTTGTCTTGCAGGGTCTGCTGGACCTGGGCTTGTCAAAAACATCTCCAGTCATTTCAGATCTTTTTCTTATTCTTTGTACTTGACGTTGAGACACATTGAAGGTGTCACCACCTCAGCAGTGGATCTGGTCTTCAGCCTCTTGATAATTAATGCTTTGGTCTCAGGGTGGATCTTAGGCATGTTGTCAGAGGTCAAGTTGCAGTTGATGTGAAGGTCTGGTGTGCTGGGGGTCTTTTTATACACACCCACTAATTGATTGATCAGTAACTGATCACAGGTGAGGCTGTAATCTAGGATTGGGTGCATCATATGACAAGGCAACAAGACTTTTGTCTTGCCAAAATCTGACCTTTCTGTGTTCATTAAATGATTAATCTTTTTTAAGTGAAGCAAATTTTTTTTAGTATATTGAGCATAATTTGGGAGGGTTTTAGCTTTCATATGAGACATTTCTAAAACCAATCGATTAATTTAAAGTCAAGTTATAAGCTTTTGTTTCTACAAAATGGATAAGCGACAAGACCTTTGTCAGGGACTGTATATGTACAAGTAAACATTAAATACAATAGAAATAATTCATAAAGATCTCAGCAATTAATCTCAGCAATATCCAAGAGGTCATAAGGAAAACCAGACAAAGCTGATATTTGATGATTAGCAGGACATAGGGTTATCTTTTACAGAAGGGTGAGTTGTTGTACAGTTGTATGGAGTATGCATAGAGTGTATTTTAAAAAAAAAGGTGGACTAAATGAGTGTGAAGTCAACCATAGCGTTCAACTCCACTCAAATGAAGGTCGCAATGCTCACGGTTACAGGGGCGAATTTGTAGCCAGACTCTAGATTATGAATAGGATTTTTCTGGACAGACAAAATAGCAAAAAAAAACAAAAAACACCAGGATCATATACAGCAGGTTAATGTGAATGTTTTTAGACCAAAATAACGAGGCTCACAGCAGCAGTTACACTGCTATATTTTTTCAATGGGAGCTGGGGTCAGTGGGAGCCAGAATTGCTCCCATCAACGTGACAACAGGTCAAATTCCTGTGAAAAAGGCAGAGTATTATATATCTGCAGTATTTTGTTCATGAAGTGGTGGTAGTGTTGTATTGCCAAACTAACAGAGCTGTTTTTCCTCCTGTCCCAGTTCAACTACATGCATGAATGCTTTGAGCGAGTCTTTTGTGAACTGAAGTGGAGGAAGCAGGTACGAACCACTCCTTTCCTTTTTGAATCTCAAAGTGTCTGACTCAGAGCCAAGTTTAATAATAGCCTGTTTTTCGCTTAATTCCCAAAGATACAAATGTCAAAGTCTGTAATCATTTATTTAACCTTCTCCTGTGCTGCAGGTCGAGGAGGAGGCTTCGGACAAAGACAACAAGAACTGCAGCAACAATGGTGAGTGAGGAGGAGAGTCTCAAATGTAGGATGTATGAGTTTTATAACAATGGTGGAAGAAGTACTCAATTTTACTACTTAAGTCAAAGTACAGATACCAGAGTAAAAAAAGCTCGAGTAAAAATATCACATGAAAAATCTACTTGAGGAAAAAATATTAAATTACCTGTTTAGAGTAAAAGAGATTTTGAGATCTTATAAAGCTTCAAATTGAGTGATTTTGATACAGATTTGTGCAGATATTTTTCCCCTGACTGTTTTAATTTGTATAATTTGTTTGCTCAAACTACAAATGTGTTGAAAATAAATCCTCCATCATTTTCAGCAGGTCTCAGAAAAAATACTTTTACTTGTCCAGTATAAAAATGCTCACCTGCTCTCCTAAAAGTAAAAGGTATTCACATTATAATGTATTTAAGTAAAGTACAGATACCCAAAATGTACTCTACTACTTTTACTAAATGTTTTTTTTGGTTTATGGATATAATTTTGAAGACTTAAACATATATTTACAGATAAGATAGTGTAGAGAAGATCGAACCTATTATTTATTACTATGGCAAAATGCTACATATGGATACGCATTTTATCCCTTTTTTTTGAAGACAAAGAAGAAGAAACATGTGTTATCACAATACAAAAACACCTAACTCAATTTTGATACTAAAGAAAACCTTGATTCCCCAAAGATAATAATAAGATATTTTTGCTAGACAATAGTAGTAATTTTCAAAACTAAACAACTAGTGTCTTTTTATTTTTATACTTGATCTGTTGTAGATGATTACAATCTAAACTTCTAAGGGAGATGTTCAGTTTTGTTCTACTTTTTTGATTGATGAGTATCTAGTTTTAATACTCGTTTTAGCACTGATTAGAACCTGGTTTTCAATCATTCTGACAACCCCACAAAAACTGGCTATTTAAGTTTCAAATTTTCTAATCTATTTTACCACTTTGGTGCAGCTACATTAGCGGATTTAATCTATAAAAATCGCAGGTACTTGCAATATTTGTCTAAAAAAACATTTTGGATATTTCCATAGCAACTGTTGCCACTGGAAACCATCGTCTGTGTTGTGTCTGCGTTTTTAATTGGCGTTCTCTCGGTGACACAAGATCCAATAAAGTAGGTCAGTGATGGATGACTTCTGTGTGTATTTGCAGAGTATCTTCCACCATTGGAGACACAGCAGAAGGGATGGCGCCACCTAGGGGGCGAGATTGCAACGTCCTAAAACCTTCCATCTGCCCTCATCTTCTTCTCCAACTAGAAACTGGTCCACTAGCATCATCACCTCCACCCGAGAGAGAGCGCCATCTACAGACATGGAGACGAGACTGCGCTGGTCCCATGCCAAGGCAAAACAAACAAAAGAGACGGATTTGGGAAATAAAAAATTATAAATACAAACTCAAAATTCCTGGGATACTCGAATGCAACACGGTCAAGCAGCAATGAAGGGACATGGACAGGAGCCAACCTTCATATCATTCACTAGATCTGTCTCTAGATCTCATATAAGCGTCTCTTGTTTTTCTCAACTTCCCCGTAGAGAGAATGGGGCAGTAGCAAAACGCCCCTGGGCTCAAATGGAGGACTTCAAAGCCAAACGTAGGCGGCAGACATCTTGGTTCGAGATCTCTACAGCCTGTTTTTGATCTCCTGTCCGACGAGGCTAGAAGAATGAAGTCTTTTTAGACCGCGATGGAACGACACTGATGCTGCACACTGACATAAAATGTTTTCTACGTGGCATCAGATTGAAAAAAAAAAGATATATTTGGGTGTTCTGAATAGCAGGATAGAAGACTTAACATTCAAACTGCTATTATTAATCTTATTTTGACTCTCTGTTGTTTTGCTACGGTTTGTCACTTTCGGGCAGTTGGCGATGTTGTCAGTATAGTTCCCCTTTAAGTGTTTTCTTCGGCTAACTGTCCACGGCCCTCAAACTCGTTGGAAACTGAAGTGTCCCAGATTACAGTACACGTATAGAGGCTGACTGACGATTGGAACTAAGCTGTGTTTCTCCAAGCAGGCAGCAGAGGGCAGCAGAGCATAAGGATGTTATGGGGGGATGGTTTGAGCCGTAAAGTCCTTATTTAAGAGAGGATCCCCTGGGCGCAGTAAGCCGGCCTGCTAGTATCACTCCTATACGTTAACTACAGCAGGGGCGTAGGGGTGTGCGACCAAGCAAAGAGATGGTGCCACTAGCATACAGAGTTATGCAGGCGACTGTCTACTTCAGAATTCAGTATTATGTAGTTATCTATGTATGTCTAGTCAGTTTTAACACTGGTATTCTTTCCTTTAAAGGTCCACAGCGTAACATTCCTAGTGGAGGGTCCGCCACCTGCTTATCTTTATAGAAATGTTATTTAATGTCTATAGAATGTTCCACAGAAGATTAAACGTATCTGGCACAAGCAGGTTACAGCATTACGCCACATTATAAGTCAGATCTGTGGAGAGTCGCCCCTATTCACAGAAGGTATTACTGTATTTTTGAACAACAGAAACACCCGTAATGAACAGATGCTAGATATGTTTGTATAAAGCAATCACATCATCAAAACAAGGAGGTAGCGAACCCTCCACTAGAAAAGTTGCGCAGTGCACCTTTAATTTGAGGAGCATTTCATGTTTGTTGCATAAAGATGATGCTATAGTCTATTTATCTTATGTCTTTGGTGTGTAGAACGCACTGTTATTTTTTGGAGACTGTAATAATCGCTGATCAGAATATTAATGCATTCAATTCTCACTGATGCAATAGGTTTGTTTATGCCGCTAAGGGCTATAATTATTACTGACTACTCCGGCTTCTTCCTGGCAACCAAAAACCAAAAAAAAACGCACAGAAAGAGCTGAAAGAAAGCAAGAAAGCACGCACGGTTCAACTTTATGAAAATGTCCACTTCAGTTTTGCTTCAGTAGTAGTTTTAATGCATGATTTGCTTGCTGATCTGTTTGTATGTGCGAGGGGGATAGACGGATAGATGTGCGTGTGTCCTTTTTGAGTTGGTAACCTTGTGGGCTCTGATTGGACTGGCTGTGCGTTGCATTGCGAGCCAGCAAATGAAGACGGGATTACCAAGTGTGAAGACGGCATGCAGATTGAGACAAATGAGTTGGCGCCCCCTGTTGTCTGTGTCATTCAAATTCTCATGCTTTTTACGGCGTACCACGGCTGTCATAACTGGCAATGATGCCTTCTTTAGTCAGGTAGTTGGCTCTAAACAGAATGTTGGAAGACGTTCAATGCTGAGTGGATATTTTTTACTTTACCTCCATGTTATTATGAAAGTAACAGACTTATTTTTACATGTATTTTATTCTAGCTCAGCCCACATACTGATCTATGTTTGATGGCAGATGTTTTTTGTCATTTTCTTGGCTCTAAAGAGGCTTTTAGCTGCTGTTGTCAAAAGTTGTGGCGTATAGCAAGAACAGGAGCTGAAAAATGCTTGTCTAGAGGCTGTGTGGTCATTGTGACAGGCAAAGTAATGTTCTCCTTCGTGAAAGATGACATCTCAATTGGGCCTGTTCAAGCATAACGCGTTTATTCCATTGTAAAAGAAATGGGTGACGGAGGCGCAGTCTGGCCCAAGCTTTTCCAGCTGCAGCTATCGGTAACGGTCTCCAGGTTCTATCGTCGTGGCAATAATGGTTGTTGCCGTGGCAGCAGCAAACCCGACAACAGCAGCATCACTGTCTTTTTTTTTTTTTTTTTTTCTACAATGTGATGATGTCAAAATCCCAGATGGAGAGTAGGAGTCAGTAGGTGAAGCGCTATTTTTAAGAGAAAAGTCAGATTTTTTTGCTGCTGGTGAACAGATGGTAGCACTGAGGAAAAAAACTGCAAGTTATCTTTTTTTTTTTTTTTTTTTTTTTAAATTTGCCACAAATTAATTATCTTGAAAATACAATCAATTTCACCCCTAATTTTTGAACAGTTTTACCAAACGATGAACAATTTTCCAAAATATAAAACCAGATTTGTTGGGGATTAGGTCATTAGACATGTATCACACGTTTTTGAAGGCACACTTATTAAATATTGTAATATATTTTAGGTTTGTTTTGTTTTATTTGAGTACCACTTTCTGTTTCACATCAAAAATGTTCTACACCGTTAAAATGCTAACTATAAACTTCACAATAGCTTCCAGTAACGATTCTTGCCTCCATGTCTTACTATGGGCCAATGTTATGACTTCAAAACCAGCTCCCCTCTCACTATGTACTTGAGGCAGTGTTTTTAATGTTTGTCTTCTCTGTGTGGCTTGTGACGCTGATATGAAAATGCTTTGTGGAAAAAAAAAAAAATCTTGCGGTTTAACTTTTAGTTTTTGGTTTCTAATAGGGCTGCACAGTATTTTAAAAACATGCAATAATGTTTGAGATCTCTTGAAAACTGATGGCCGATATTTTGAGACGCTACTTTGAAAATTGATGTAGAAAGTTGCATCAAAGTAGAAATAAATTAATATATTATGATTAATTAAAAATATCGCTTTACCGCTTAAAATGTGTTGGCAAAAAATATTGGTTCACTTTGTATTTTAATTGCAAGCTCAAATAGGAAAATTATTTAAAAGTGCACCATGTAACTTTTTGGTTGGGGGTCTGTCACCTGCTTGTTTCTATGGATACGTCATTGCTCTGTCTTGAATGTTCCACAGTATGATATTAAACAGCTCTAGGTCACATTTATTAAATAACAGTTTGTTTTGTAGCTCAAAAATACCTAGAAAAACGGGCATTCTGACTTTGAGCAGCACAGATCTGATCTTCCACAGATCTGACTTGTATCTTGGTCTTGGTCTGGAGATAGAAAGGTTTAATACCATACTGTGAAACTTTCCAGCCAAAGCAACAACATCTCCACGGAGAAAAGCATCTGATGGACCCTCAATCAGAAAAGTTACACAATGCACCTTTAAATATTTCTCAAATGAAAACCTGAACATTGCCGCAGTTTAGTTTGTTGCCATAGGAACGTTGTAATTGATAAGTTAAAATGAATTTCTGATTAATTGTTGTTATACTATGCAGCCCTCGTCACAGTGTATTGAGTTGTTTGATAAAGTCAGTAATCAGTATTTCAGGAGTGGACACAAAAACAAAACTGAATGTGAACGAGTCCTTATCTTTTAATAGTCGACCCGTGATTGGTATTTTAAATCCGTTTTGTCCGTCTGACGTGTTTTTGTACCGCTGGACGTTTTTTCATTATGTATCTTTGTGGACAAAATATTCAAAAGGTACATGGGTGCATCATGGTTCTCACAAAATATCGAAACGTATTTTGCGTAAGCCTCTTGAAAAAAAGTTTGTCACCATGACAACCTCCGCTGAACCTCATCGAAGTGTTGCTGTTGCTATAGTAATATGCTCCGACTTATGATTTCGGTCTTGTATAAGGACTTCACTAATCAGCCATGACATTATTTGACCAGTGACAGATTCAATTAAGTGCAAAGATGAAAATTATGAGCAATTATCGGTTTATAAAATTATACTTTTGGACCTCAAAGACACTTATAGAAGGGTTGGGAATCAATGGGTCCCTCACGATTCTATACTTGATACATGGCTCACGATACAAAATTATCACGATGTGGCGATAATTGATATATACATTGTTATTTATTGCTATTTTTTAACAACCAAATCTCTTTTAGCAACAATATTTCTTTGTTAAATCACTACTTGTGCAAAGTTTGATATGAAATGGATTTATTTTATTAATCAGAACAGTGAATATGTGTATTGCAAAAACAAGTTTTCTTAAACTAAATAAGCAACAAAATTGTAGTATGGTCACAAAAAACATTGCTAAAATATACACACAAAAAAAATACTCTTGGCAATATATCAACACAGCAGCCCATGATAACAACAGTATATCACCAAATTTAGTACCACGATATAGCTGTATTTCAATATTTTTGCGTACCTCTGTAATTTATTGAAACATTTTACCCCATGGACTGCAAACATTTGATTATTATCCAGTAAATTCCACAGAAATATCAAGAAATTATTTTGCCCAAACCTGTGAATTTAAGGCATTTAAAAGACAAAATGTAATTGGCTGGAGAACTGGGTCATTCTGCGGTTGTTTGGATCTGTCATAGTTACTCCAGTGGTTAAACAGTGGTGGTTATAATGTTATGGCTGGTTGGTGTATTGACTGTTTTCTATGAAGTTTCTGGAGACTTTGTGTAACTTTAGAAAATACACCGATGGCTGACCTCTGACCTTCAGCAGACCTTTATGACGGGTGGATGTACGTGCAGTTTAACTTAAAGTGTTTTTAGCCTTTTTGTGTCTTTTGCGTTGACACTATGATTTACAACTAGACTGATTGATTAAATGCATTGTTTCTCTGTCTGCAGCATAACCTGTAAATAGTTTAAAAAAGTTAAGAGAGTATCCTTTCTGACAAAAAATGCACTCTTGTTTCTCCAAGACTTTTATTTATTTAAGCAGAAATTATGACCTTTGGGGAAATTATAGTGTAAAAATGCTAGCGGCACTGTTGATCTTTCGATTTTATGCATTAGGTTTGGTTGGTCAAGCTAACTTCACAAAGTCACGTACTAAAGGTATTGTTAACAACTGATGCAGGCCACAAAATGAGAGTTTTATATCTAAAACACAATGAAGGTTTACTAACCAATGTAAGAAAAAGGTTTAAAATGTTGTGTAGAGTAATAAATTGTAACAATATTTTAAATAAAGTTATATATATTGGGAAATATCTTTTGTTTTTATTTTTTTCTCCTGGTTGTGCTATTCGGTTAGAAAATGGATGAGTATCAAGAAGGAAAACAGTAAAAAGCTGTCAGCCCTTCACCAAGGCTTTGGCCCTATCTCGCAATGTAAAAATCTGAGTACAGAGAGTTTAATCAAGGCATCTTATAGGTAAATATTCCACAGTAGCATAAGATTTTGCAAAACCTATAGGCTTAGAAGAAGTAACATATATCCTCTTCTAACATGAAAACCCATATTATTCAATATTCTCCAAAAACATTACATGCAAAATATTAAAAGTCCTACGCAAAATGAGGATGAGGAGCAATGAAGATACATTATAACAATGATCAGAAAATAAAAACAATAGCCACTCTGTACAGGATGGTGCTTCATGTTTCTGGAACCAGCCAAGGTCATTGAAAACATTGTCATGATTTATGTATAAAATGAGGTGGTGGTTAAATGAGCCATTAAAAGTAAAAGCATTTTTCACCATAATTTTTTTTAACATATATTACTATTTTTTCTATTTCCACTTTACCAATTAACTTTGCCAAATAATAAAAATCAAGTGACTGCAGCTGTGGCTGGCATGTGAAATCAAGTTCTGAAACAATAAACATGAATAACCACAGACACAGAGATTTAAGAGAACAACATAATGTTAAAACAATTTTGGTTTTATTTTTTCATAATGCAAAGGGTAATATTTGGAGGGGCTTTAGTGCTCCTTTACTGCGGCCGCTCCTTTTGCATGGCTGTACTCTTTCACTTTCCCAACAAAACTTGAGAAGACGTATCTCCTCTCGTGCTGAGAAGAGATCAGAGCACAGCTTTCGACAGTTTCTCATTTTCTTTGAGGGTTACATCTCCACCAACTCCAAAATTAGTGGTTTGAGAGTCTCTGCAGGCCTCTGGATCTGACCTGTTTGTGTTTTTCATCTCAGTGATTAAACTGCCCTGTGCTTTAATGTCTGTATTTGATTAAAATGTGTGAACTTTGTTACATAAAAACAAACTGCTTCATGTTGGCAGTGAAATTTTGGTCCGATTTAAAAACATGTTTTCGAAGAAGAGATGAACTGATATCAGAGAAAGGGATGTAGAGGAGAGAAATAGACAGATCATTTACTGAAGATGTCCTGAATGTTTGTGTAATCAAAGTTAAAGTCTGTACCATCTCCTAAGTATATTTGGGTTTAATTGTGCCTCTCTCCTTTGGGACTCCACGCTGTCACGGCCACCTCTTTAAAAAGACATAAGGCTGACTCCATCACTCAGAAGGGACCAATTAACTCCTCAAAGTTAACCACGCCTCAGTAAACTCCTAATGTCTGCAAATTAAGAAACTTCTACAGCTCCATTGAAAAGGGTAAAGTTTTCCTCAAGATGGTGAATTTGCTCTGCACTAAAGAACACACAGTGAACTTGACTCACAGCAGAATGAAATTTAAATGAATTAATGCCATATTTAACAGAGGTTAGTTCTGTTTCTATAGAAGCAAGAGTAAAGGTTTTTTATGTATATTGATACTTTGCCATGACATCATGCTGGGGGTGTTCTACATGTATGTGTATGGTGGAATCAATTCATCAGTTACCATGCTATAGCAAACACTGCCAAAATGTTTCTAGACAGTTTGAAAACTCAAGTAAAATATAAAATGGAGTTAAATAACATATTTTCAAATCAATGCAAGACTGATTCATCAGCCGGTTTCACTTTGTGGAAACCATCTGACCTTGCAGCATTAGGATTCATTTGCTCGATGATATAGGCGGGTACTTTTGTATTTAACCAGTCACTGCTATTTAGTCGTGATGTATGTAATGTGCCGGAATGCTCAGCGGTGTCCAAGTAATTTCTGGTGTTACAGCTCTTCGTTCACTGATTTCTGGGGTTCTTGCAAACCGTCAAGTGTATTCCAATTCCTGACCTAGTTGCTGGAGAGAAATTAAATTGAGCAGAGGCACTAGGTGGCGCCGGCTACAAGTGTTCATGGTCCTGTTTAGGAGTTTGATTTTCAACCAAAAAGGAGAGAGACTAACTGACTGGGCATGGACATGATGGCAAAGCAGTTAGCACTCTCACAGCCCCACAGCAAGAAGGTCCTGGGTTTGATTCTAGGGCTTGGCTTTTCTGTGTGGAGTTTGCCTGTTCTCACTATGCCTGCATAGGTTTCCTCTGGGTGCTCCAGATTCTCTACCACTAAAATCATGGACAATAGGGTCTCCTGTGGGGCCAGGACTCCCCTGAAAAAGAGATTCCTAAGCTCAGCTGGACTATCCTGTTAAATAAAGGTCAATAACTGAAAAACTGTTGGCTAATGGTAGCTGTGTTGTGACTGTAAAGTTTTCTGAGGGACTTGATTAAAAGCACAAACCATCTCACCTGTTGTAGTTCCAGCTAAATCAGTGGTTTATGGTCAGACAGATAAAGCTCAGATTAAAGTCTAACAAAGCCTCAGACAGAGCAGTGCCTACTACTGAATATTGATCACATCAGCTGCAAAGTATCAATAACATGAGTAATATTTTCACGTAGTAAATCACAAAGCTGCAGTTCTGTATATTACTTTTAATATATGTAAATAAAAATTCCATTATTATTCATATGTTTATGCAGCTGAGAGCTCTAAAAGCCTCTGGGAACATTTCATGATAGAATGTATTTAAAGAGCTCATATTACACTGTTTTATTATTTATGTTTTAATGTTGTTTCCTCATCAAAAACATACCTACATGGAATTGAGTATTTTTTTCACACACCAAAACCCCACCTTGTGATGTCATGTGGTATTTCAGGAGAAGCTTCATCGTGTTTTTAAACTCCATACACCTTCACTAGAATAATTTGGATAATTTCAGCCTTGTAATGGCCAATCTCTACAGAACAAGGTAAAAGGCAGCTGTTAACTTGAAAACTACATCCAGTTTTTCAGTCCTAAGTACTTCTCACCTTTGTTCTGTCAGGGCTGAAATCTGTGTATTTTTAAATTCCAAGTGTGTCCTTGTTATACTGATGAAGTGGGAGGTAATTATGTAAATGTTCTTGCCATGTGTTGGAGGCAGTGGGATGTTTGATTCTTCTGTCGATGGTAACAGGCTGATCTCTGCCTTTTGTCTCCTGAAGCTTTTCACAAACGCCAAGAACCACTTTAAAACCAGAAGTGAATTAACTGGCCTTGAAACTTGGTCTGTCTCATATAATTCTGACACGGAGATAGTTTCTGCCCGTTTCCTCTCTCTCTTTGTCTCTGTCTCTGTCTCTTTTTCTTTCTTTCTCTTTCTCTCTTTTTCTATCAAGCCAAGGCCAAGACGGCTGGTGTGTGAATTAAATTTAATGCATAAATAGTCTCTGTCTCTCTTTTTCTTTCCCAGTCTCTCCATCTCTCTCATTTTTCTCTTTCTCTCATCCTCACTCTGCCAGTCTCACTTCCTCTCAGTCTCTTTCTTTCTTTCTTTCTCTCTCTCTCTGTCAGTCTATCTCTCTGTCTTTGTAGTTCTTTCTGTCAGGACAAGGCCAAGACGGCGGGAGTGTGGATGAAATGTAATGCAAACATAAAGGTCTCTCTCTTTCTTTCTCTTTGTCTCTCTTTGTCTGTCTCTCTTTCCCCCTCTCTCTCTTTTTCTCTCTCTCTCTGTCAGTCCATCCCTCTTTGTATGGTGGGGAATATGTGGATGAAATTTATAAAGGTCTCGCTCTCTTTCTGTCTCTCTCTCTCAGTGTCTCCATCTTTCTCATTTTTCTCTTTCTCTCATCCTCGCTCTGTCAGTCTCAGTTTCTCTCGCTTCCCCCTCTTTCTTTTTTTCTCTCTTTCTCTCAGTCTCTCCCTCTCTCTCTTTTTTCTGTTTCTCACATCCTCACTCTGAGTCTCAATTTCTCTCAGTCTCTCTCTCTCTCTCTCTCAGTCTCTCCATTTGTCTCATTTTTCTCTTTCTCTCATCCTCAATCTGTCAGTCTAATTTTCTCTTAGTCTCTCTCTCTCAGTCTCTCTCTCTCTTTCTTCCTCTCTCTCTCTCTCTGTCAGTCTATCTCTCTGTCTTTGTAGATGGATGAAATTTAATGCAAAAATAAAGGTCTCCCTCTTTCTTTCTCTTTGTCTGTCCCCTCTCTCTCTCTCTCTCTCTTTTTCTCTCTTTCTCACATCCTCAATATGTCAGTCTAACTTTCTCTTAGTCTCTTTGTCTCTTTCTTTCTTTGTCTATCTTTCTTTCTCTCTCTCTGTCAGTCTATCTCTCTGTCTTTGTAGTTCTTTCTGTCAGGCCAAGGCCAAAACGACAGGAGTGTGGATGAAATTTAATGCAAAAATAAAGTTCTCTCTCTTTCTCTCTCTCTCTCTCTTTCTCACTCAGTCTCTCCATTTGTCTCATTTTTCTCTTTCTCTCATCCTTATACCCTGTCAGTCTCACTCTCTCTTAGGCTCTTTCTTTCTTTATCTTTCTCTCTCTCTCTGTCAGTCAGTCTATCTCTCTGTCTTTGTTGTTCTTTCTGTCAGGCTAAGGCCAAAACGACAGGAGTGTGGATGAAATTTAATGCAAAAATAAAGGTCTCTCTCTCTCTCTCTCTCTCTCTCTCTCTCTCTCTCTCTCTCTCTCTCTCTCTCTCTCTCTCTCTCTCTCTCTCTCTCTCTCTCTCTCTCTCTCTCTCTCTCTCTCTCTGTCTATCAGTCCATCCCTCCTTGTCTCTCTTTTGTCAGCCCAAGACTAATATGGTGGTGCATTAAATTACAAAGTGACAAAGAAAAAAGCAAACCCAACTGTGTCCAAGGTTTGTGAGGCTGTACATTTAAATGAGCTGTTTAAGAAAAAAAGGAAAGAAATTGGTTTGTGTAACTGAAATGATCTATGAGAAGGAGTCTGTGATTCACTGAGCAAGACACCTCCTGAATTTTGCCAATATAGTTCAATATCGACCAGTGTGGGACTGGAGAGGTCAAAGGTGAAATTCGTGTACACGTACATCTCCCTGTCCCAGAGCAGTCGCCTACAATTTTA